TTCTGAGCCGGTCTAATCTAAGTTGTTTGTTTAAGATGAAATTTAGTTCCTTTTCCAAAAATGAAATGAATTTTTCTTTTCTTCTCTGGCTATGTAGATATTTAAAATAAGAAACACTCCATTTTCATACTTAGGAGTCACAGAAAGTTTTCATTTCCTCAAAAAAGTAGTAATATAGCAATCAACAAGCATTTATTCAGTTCTTACTGTGAACCCGGCACCATGTTAGGCAGAGAGTGAAGGATGAGCCACTCACAACTTGTTTACATTCTAACAAGTGAGAAAACATGTGAATATATAAATAGAAAGAGATAACTAAAACGTGAATGAATGTAAACAAATACAAGGCAGTTGAGTACAAGATAGTTAGGGAGGGCAGTAGCAGTTGGAGAGAAGTGAGAAGGGCTTCCTGCACAGGATGGCCCTTGAGCTGCACCTAAGAGCCTTCATGAAGCCAAGTTGAGAAAGGAGTGCCTTCCAGGCAGGGATGGTCATTGTGGAGGAACATTAGTTCTCTCTGTACCTCACATTAGCCTTCATCTCATTCCACAACTTCCCCATCATCCCTCCTAAATTCTGTTTTTACCCTTTCTGCCTTAATTGTACTCAATTACACATTCCCTACTACAAAGACAAAAACTCTTCCATGTGACACTTTAGTGAATGAAGAAAAGAGACAAATTCTCATATTCCTGCATAAACCTTTTGTATTTACAAAAGCTGAATATTCTGTCTGAGTCTTGTAGAATTATGTGATGGATGGAGTAGGCATATGCTCCAATGGTCCAAATGTCAGGCGTTCCAGATAAAAGGCCACTGCACAATAATCAAATCTCTTTTAAAACAAAAACTCATGCGTGTGTGACAGAAGGTGTATGTAACCCACCACCCTTGGATGGCTTTTCCATAAACTATAGACACTATTAATATATATTTAAGAGGTAAGAATGATCTTGTACAGTAGCTGCCATTTGGTGAAGTGTCTGTGAGAAAACGATCAGTGATTCAGGAAAGACTATAAATTGAGATGGCTAAAGAGAGGTAAGAGGGGGAAAAGGACTGGAAGATCTTATTTCCTGAGAGAATTGGATTTAATCCTGATGAGATCATCAAGAAAGATAGTAAAGAGGAAGAAGGAAAGAGAGCACAGGACAGAGTCCTAGGGGGACAGCCACAGTTAACGGCATGATATTATTAAGACCAAGCGAGAGAGACTTGACCTTGATAGAAACCCAGAGAGAAGAGGCTTTCTAGCAGGAGCAGGTAATTAACAGTATCAACGGCTTCAGAGAAGTCAAAAACCATAAGGCCTGAGAAAAGGTCATTAGATTTTAGAAATCATATTCATTTGCCATCATCACCCAACGTTCCCTCACTCCAAACTCCACCTCTGACCAGTCAATTCTCCTAACAGCTCCCTTGGCTTCTGATTATGAACCTGCACCATGTCTAATCTCGCCCAGATCCCCACCCTGTAGATCCCCAGCCATCTCTACGCCATGCCATGCTGATGTACTTTTCTAGTCCTGGCTCTGGAAGCAATAATCAAATCAATGCTACCATTCCTGGAAATGACACCCCCATCAGTTACTCCATGACTGACTTATCGTGCCTGCAAGTTCCCCTCATCAAAACACCTTTTCTTGGTCACCATTCCTTTATGTATGTGTTGATTTCCTCTAAATCGTCTTTTTTCTATTTTTATTCTCAGCACATAGTATATAGCAAGAACTTAATATTCTTTTTTTCATTCAATGAGGACATGAATGTGACCCTCAGGCTTATGAGCTATAGTAGGCTCCTATCCTTGTGGAAGAAAACTAATTTTTGATTATTTGTGAACTGTGCTATGTAGATTTTAATATTGGATAAGTAAGTATTGAATATGCCTTTATAAGGTGTTAAATAGCTAAGCCCTGGAGAGAGTTTGTCAGTTTCAAGATAAGACCCAATTAGTTGGTGATCTGACAGGTCATCAAGACTCAGAACAACTGTAGAGTGAGACCCCTAGAAGAAGGCAAGGAAAGGATTTTTCTCTTTCTCTGCCATGGCATAAAGGAGGAGTGATTTGCCCAGAGAGAGAAATCTCACTCAGTAGCTTCATTGTTCTTTGGTTCCAGAAAGATCTTGATCTTGAGGAAGCAGAGACGTACCCTACAAACAGGCATGGATAAAGATTGGTCATCATTTGTGTCTAGAAGCAACTTTCTGGACTAGGAACCCAGACAGGCAGTGAAGAGAGACTGCTATCAACTCAAAAGAGAGCTAGGTCTGGCATTTGAAAATTGAACCGTGGAGAGGAGCCGACCATGGGAACCTAACTAAGCAGCCTGCCCAGCAAAGACATTGCTTCCCAGGGAAGCTTTGTGAGGACTGTACAAAGAGCAAATACAGCTAAGCCCCACCATACCCGGGGCTGTGCATTGCTCTGGCCACATGTGATGCCTACATGTAATGCCTCGTTACTCCTGTGCTCCAAATTGATGTCTGCTCTTCCCATGGAAAAGCTGAGAATTTGTGGGATAGTGTGCCCCAGGTTTCTGTGTGTACATGTGTTGGGGAAAGGAGAATATTTTAGTTACTGAAATCTTAGTAAATGCTAACCTTTATGTTTTGCAAATTATAAGGGCTAATAATTTCTCTTGAGTGATTGTTAATCTAAAGTACACTGGTAGGGGCTTATCAGCTGTGGTTGAAGCCTAACCCTGCAGAATACACCATTAACCCCAGAACCCAAGGTAAGGAACTACCTCTGGAGACCCAAGCTGAGTGTGTCAGTGCAAGCCAAGAGAGTAACTCAGAGGTGGTGTTACCTATGAAAGTGCTTTGCAAACATGAGAATTCTTAGTAATTTAGGACTCAATTCTGGCATCAGAATAAATAATGACCTGGGTTCAGTTGGTATTTCTTGTTCACATTTCCAAGCCCTTGGTCTATAGGGAGAAAGGCCCAAGAGGAAAATACCATCTTGCACTGAGAGCAGTGATCTTCAGCCACCATGTTTCACAATGGTAACTGATAGTTTTATTTTTACCTTGAAGTTCTATAGAATTGAATGGAGGTTATGAATGATATCTGTCACAGAAAGAGAGAAGCAAGGCTTTCCTTATTAATCAGTATACAGACTATATCAGTATACAGTATGTTGAAAGAGTGCATAAGCCAAGGTCAAATGTATACATTGCTGATATCTAACAATAAAGAACAAGTTGGCATGTGTTCATAGCTCCCAGCCTGACATCCTAGCTTCAGGGCATTGTTAAGAAGATACTGTTCTGTTTTTTCCTCCAGATTCTTCTCAAATGATGTTGGCTGTATTTATTTTACTCAGCCTGACTCTCCTGACTTTCTCTAAGCAAAGCATACTGACTATAGCTCACTGGAAATGAGGAAACTGGAAAGACAGGGAGGGTTCATTGACTTCAAGGTACATGCAAAGGTCACCTAAATAAATTCTATTAAATAAATAATGCCCCGTTACTTTCAGGAAAACAAACTCAGAAAAGCTCCAAAGAGGTCTATAGCTCCCCAAAAAGTAGATAGATAGATCAGTGGTGATGGTGGTGTGTTCGGTCTTTCGTTCTTGAAGAAGACTGATTACGTTGTGAGGGTGACTTGCACATGAATTGGATTTAAGAGAGGTGGAGAAGGGCAGACCCTGGGATCCCAGCTAAGCTCCCTACCCAGCAGAGACACTGCCACCCAGGGGAGCCATGGGAGAATCTAGGAAGAAAGTGCTTTGCAAATTGTAAATTGTGCTGGTTATAATGATAATGGGAATAATAATGATGGCAATGCAAAGGACTCCCAGACCCACTAGTACTCTGAGCAGTGAGCTGCCTTGGCCCCATCAGCTCCCTTGTTCCCATTGTACTCCAAGCTCATGCCCATTCTTCCCACGGATCTGTATGTATGTGCAGGATAGCATTCCTCAGAGTTATGTGGGGGGAGAATTGTCTAGCCACTGTTTTTACTGTGACGTCTGAGAAAATGCCTTTGCTAAGAGTTAATAACGTCTATTGGCTGATTGTTAATGGGAAACACATTGATGGGGATTTGTTAACTGTCATGTTAGGAGAGCTGACCCAAACTATGTAGTAGCTGACCTCCGGAGATCCAATGTCTAAATATAATTGCAAGTTAGCAAGTGGCCCAAACGAAGAACTAAAATCCTTTGCAAACTGTAATACACTATATAAATACAAGTTGTCATCCACTACCCCAGTAGAATGTAAACTCCCTGAGGACGAAGACTTTTATTTTTGTCTTTCTATCTATCCCCAGTACCTAGCTAAGTGCCTGGAACATAGTAGGTGCTAATAAACACATATGATGGACTACTGAATCAGGTTGTATGTTCAGCCCCTCTTCATTTTTGTCTATATCCCCAGTGCCTTGCACAAAGTAGGAATTTAATAAATATTTGTGGCATTGATGATTATAAAGTTTAGGAAGTTTTTCCTCGAAGGCAGCAAGAATACTTGTCCTGTTAATTACAAAATAGAGAGTGTAACGGAGAGTGTAAACTGTCCTCTTTTTCTTCCTTCCTTCCTTCTTTTTTCTTTCCTTATTTTCTTTTTCTTCCTTCCTTCCTTCTTCTTTCTTCTTTTTTTTAATTTCTTTCTTCCTTCCTTTCTCTATTTTTGTTTGTTTCTTTCTTTCTTTTAGACTGGCCTGTTTAAAAACAGCTCTGCTTAAAACCAGATGACACTGGCTGATCTAAGTCAGTCACTTCTTGGGTGACCTTGGGCAAGCGAGTGAACCTGTCTACCTTAGTTTCTTATCCATAAAATGAGCCATTTGGTCCCCATGATCTCTGAGGCGACATCCAGCCTTAAGATCCTGTGGTCTGTCCCATGATTTACCTCATCTTCAGCATCAAGATAGAGATGCTTTTGCACATTTTGAAGAGAGGGTGTCTTGCTACAACCATCATGAGTTGACCATGAAGTGCCACGCAGAAGCCGTTCTTCTTTAACTCTCTCTGTATTTGTTTCTAGATGCGGCTGGAAGTCGTGTAGCAAAGCTGGCCTTCAGCTGCACCTTGAAGGGTCATTACTGCCTGTACAGTAAGTCCAGCTTTACCCTCATCAGCCACCAGCCTCAGCTCTGGATTCATATCATGTTTCTGTTTCAGCAGGTGTGTGCCATGTGCGTGAATAGCAGCACCTTAATGAGTAACCACATTTGGGGGTTGGGGAAGGCAGACAGGAGGCAGTTAGGCGGCATAGTCCATAGGGTGTTGTGCTTAGAGTTGGGGATTGGAATTTTGCCTCAGACACTTATTAGCTACAAAACCCTGAGCAAGTCACCTAGCCACTTTGGGCCTCAGCTTCCTTATCTACAAAATGAAGGGACTGGACCTGACAGCCTCTAAGGTCTCTTCCAGCTCTAAAGCTATAATCCTGTGACCCTAAAAGCCTGTCAACACTTGGACTATTTCAGCAAGTCACGGGTCAGCGTTCATATGGAGACCGCTCGATAAGTTCATTGACAGTGCGTGTGAATAAATAGGTGGATGGACTGGTGAATGGAAAAGCATTTATTAAGAAAGCACTGTGCCTTATGTGCATATGCTGGTGTACATATAGAAATGTGCACATATACAAATGTATATACATATACAAATACATACAAACATGGGCCTTAGTTTCAACAAAGTGTTCTTTAAAATGATCCCTCAAAGGTGGGCTTCCCACCATCTTGAGCACCATCTTCTACACAAAAATTTCTTGGTTAATTATCAACAGGTCACGCCAAGGCTTCTCATCCTCTCTGATCTTTTAAACGCTAACTTCTTTGGTTTAAATTAGAGAATGGAGGAGGGGAGGGAAAATAATTTGGAATGGAATGGGATAGAAAAATACTTATTAATAGCTTGCTATGTGCCATGCATGGTGCTAAATATTGAGGTTTCAAATAGAAAATCAAAGCACTCCTTGGTCTCCTGCAGCTTGCATTATGATTTAGGGAGACAACACATGAAGGAGAGAGCATGTTTGTGTTCAGTTCACGGTATATAGAAAGACCAAGTATTATTTGGGCAGAGACTATAGCAAGACCCAGAGGACCTTGGGAAACAATGACAGGGAAGATGGACTCTAAGAAGAGTACAGCTGGTTCAAGGGTTAGAGGAAAGTGAAGCTCTGGTATCTTTCCAGCTGAGGTGGGGATCTCAGGGTCAACATCCATCTGGCACTGGGTATCCTGTACCTAGTGGGAACTGGGCAGTGGGGCAAACAAAAGAATATAGTTAGACTAAGCTTTCCTCATGTAGAAATGTCTTTGCTTCCTTTTGAGTTTTCTCAGATCAGTTTTAGTATCCCAATACTCTTTAATTTTGAGTACATGTATGAATACATATATAGAGAGAAAGATACTACATTTTACTAAGTCATACATATCTGGGGCAAATTTTTATGAAAGAAATTATCAACCCAGCAATGAAAAACATTAAAAACCTGCTCACTCTTTTCTATAAAGTCCTTGCAAACATGAAGTATTTGGATTTGTCTTTGTCTTATCAACACCTAGTACAGTGTCTGGCACAGAGCAGCTATTTAATAAATGTTTATTCGTTGATTGACTTTGTCATGTCCCAAAGAAGTTTTCAGAAAAAATGTGGCCAAGGGAGAACCGTGATGCTCTGAATTCAACAGAGTTCATTAGAGTTCAATAGAGTTCATTAACCATTTGTTGAATGAATGCATGGATGGATAGATGGATGATTCACTGACTTTGAATTATTAAAAAAAAATCTTCAGAAAAAAAATTTTAAACTAGAAAGCAAATCCAGAAAATGTATGCAATTATAAAATAAGGCATTTTCTTAGCTTCTACTGAGATCGTGTCTATGTTGACCAAATAAGATACTAAATTAATTTTCAACTAAAGGTCCAAATGCTAAGGTTTCCCTAGTTTCTGCATGAGAGCTTTGAGGTGGAAGTTCAATTACAAAGAAGAGACTATGCAGTTATATTATATTGTATGGTATTATATTACAGTATATGTATTAATATAATACATTATATTATGCCTTAGTGCCATTTTTTTCATATAACATTTAATCAAGTGTATAGAATGATATCATGATAAGAACATCTCACATTTCAGTGTGATAGGTAAAGATTCTTTGGTCTGGACTAGGATTTCATTGGGAAGGGAAACTCCCAGTGTCATGATTCCATTCTCTGATAAAGATCAGCCACTCCTCTGTAACTTGGCTTTAGAAAGCTCCCGGGGAGCATTGAAGGAACGGTTAAGTGACTTGCCCATGGTCATCCAGCTAGTATGTGTCCCAGGCAGGACTTGAATGCAGGTCATTCTGAATTCAAGGCCACCCTTCTATACCATAATTCCTTTCAAAGAAAAATATAATATACCATTGATTTACACCCTCTGCTTGCAATCATGCTCCAGATTCTTCTTCTATTTAGCTTGGGGTATTTTTTTTTAACTTAATGCCCATCGGTATTTTTTTTTGCTTCATCCCTTCTTTGTTCTGTTCATTTGTCAATTTTCTGAAAATGAACCAAGAAAAATCCATTTTGATTCCTCCCAGCAGTGTTTCATTGACATGGTCTGTGGTTTTGCTTTGTACTCTGAGCCCCCATAATAGAAAGCAATGATAGAGGCTACTTTTCCATTCTTTTCATTCCACTGCAAATTCTTCTTCTTGGTTCACTTCTGGCACTTCCTCATCTTTTTAATGAGCTCTGTTTTTGATGGCAATAAAAATCAGAGCTTTGATTTCTCACTCCAAGCTTATTACCAGGGTTAGTCCAAGCTTTTCTCCCTTCTGTCTCCACTTCACTGATTTGTTCAAACGCACATGCCCCCTACGCTTTGGCTATCAGCAGATTGTTCATTAAGCTACCCAGTCAAATCCTCTTCGTGTTGTCTTACATGTAGCTGGTACTTCAAGATTGCCTACTGAATTGAATTCCATGAGTCTTCAGCTTTTTCAAATACTGACATTTTCTATACTGATTCACAGCACTAATGATGACGAAATCTAAAAACACGCATCGGACACATCTTTTCATCACAAGTTTAAAATTCAAGTTTGTCTCTATCCACGGTTCCCAAACATTTTTGACTTTAGTTTCACTGTACTGGGTCCAAGTTGCCTAGAGACTCATTCTCATTTGCCACTGCAAAAAGAGAAGAATGGTGCTGTCTTTGGTGATGCACCAATAAATCAATATTGAGTTTTGACTAAATAAGAAAGTTATTGATTTATGATAGAGAAAAAAGTAGAGATATTGCCATATTATAGTCATAAATGCTCTGATTGACCCACCAACCACCAAGCAAATTTGTCCCTATCTATTAGCTTTTGACATAAAAAAAAATGAACATAAACTGAGGGAGGATATTCCAACGCCATGCCCCCAGATCGTTCTCATGATTTTATATTTCATGCCGCAAAGCAAAATCCATAGCAGAATATGCACACCAACCCACTCTTTATGCTTTGCTTCAATTCATGGTGAGTTTACATTTATAATAAGTTTTTAAAACTTAGTGAAATTAGTTTTATAAGTGACAAGTTAATAGGTCATTTGATCTGTCAATCAATGAGCATTCACTGAAGTGCTTATGATATGTCTACCTCTGTGTTTGAGGGTGGGTATAGTTTTGTATAAGCTTACAAATAACACTAACAGCAAGCATTTATATAGTATTTTAAGGTTTCAAGGTGTTTTACAGACATTATTTCATTGATCCTCAGCAACCTTATGAGATAAGTACTATTATTACTCCCATTTTGCAGATGAGAAAAGTTAAGGCTGAGAGAGCTTAAGTGACTTGCTCACAGTCACACAGCTAGTAAATGTCTGAGGTAGAATTTGAACTCCTTTTCTTGATTCTAGGTGCAGTCCTCTGTCATTATGCCACCTGGCTTCCTCAATTAGAAAGTATGTCCATGGTCTTGGGAAGCTTCCAATCTTGTTAGGAAGACAAGATCCACAAAACCCTCAAAATGTTAGAGAAGTACATTGGAAATCATCCATTGGTGTCTCTCATTTTACAGTTGAGGAAAGGAGTCTCAGAGAGCAAAATGCACCCAGAATTTGTGCTAAAGAGACAAAAGGCAGAGCTGGGCATCCTCACACAAGTATAGACAAAAGCCAGTTAAGTAACAGTGAAGCCAATATAACACCAGTAGTTTGAGGGCACGGTTTGCTAAGCCATTTATTTTTGTTATATTGTTCAGCCATTTCAGTCATGTCCCACTCTTCATGACCCCATTTAGGGTTTTCTTGGCAGAAATAATGGAGTGGTTTGACATTTCCTTCTCTAGCTCATTTTACAAATAAGGAAACTGAGGCAAACAGTGTTCAAAGTCTTGCCCCGGGTCACACAGGCAGTAAATGATTGAGGCCAGATTTGAACCCGGGAAGACAAGTCTTCAGACTTACTTCAGACCCAGCACTCTATCCAGTGCACCACACACTCATTAATTGGAGGGTCCCGGTTCCATTTATTATCTGGGAGCTTCTGTAGAGCCAGGATGGTACAATAGGAAAAGTCCTGGATTTGGAGTCAAAGGATGTGGTTCAAATCCCAGCTCTGCCACTTGCTATTTTTGTGATCTTGGACAAGTGAGGTAGGGAGTAGTGAGGAGAAGAAAATGGTGGAAAGGAGCAAGCATTTATAAAGCACCTACTATGTGCTGGGCACGTTTTACAAATATCATTTCATTTGAGCCTCGCAACTACCTTTGTGAGGTAAGTACTACTATTATCCCCATTTTACAGTTGAAGAAACTGAGGCAAATCAAGATTAAGTGACCTGCCCAGGGTCACACAGCTAGTATGTGTCTGAGCCTGGATCTGAATTTAGATCTTCCTGATTCCAAGACTTGCATTCTATCCACTGTGCCACCTAGCTGCCCCATTTAACCATTCTGGTAAACCAGCCCTGAGTCATTTAACTTCTCTGGGCCTCAGTTTTCTCATCTGTAAAATAAGGTGACTGGACTATATGGCATCTAAGGTCTCTTGTAGCTCTGTATCCATGACTTCCTTATACTTTTTGGAATTACATGATCCAAAGACATGTTTTTCACTCCCAATTTCCATGTGTGAACAATTATATTAAACTGTTAATTATTTAACCTGATGTACTTAGGTTATGGCCATACTCTCCATGAGGCTAGTTGATACTTATTTCACTTAGTTGTCTCTTAGTTTTCTGTCTTAATTGCCATGTTTTTGATGAAAGAAATAGAAATATTCTTTATATGATGCTAATTCTTAACAAGACATATTCTTGGAAAATGAGTTGAGCGAATAAGGCATGACCAAGGTCAGGGATACTTATAAGGATTACTCCTAATTGCACTGAAAGTCCTTTTAAATGATTTTGATATTACTCTCTCAGTTCCAAAAAGAAAAGAAAAATACCAAACATAAACTATATTTGACCTCTGCTATTGATGTCTTTATTTCATTAAAGCCGTGTTTAAACTCAAACTCTCTCTAAGGCCGAGAGCCAATTGAATGTCACCATTATGATGTGAGGAGATGGATTTTACACTAATGGGACCTTGGTGACATGTGTTCCATTCTTTATCATTGATTTTCTTGTCAGTGCTCGTTTCTGGAGCCGCTGTCCACACAAAGCCTGCCGGTGCGAGCTCTCAGATCCTTGTGGGAAAAGACACAGATAAAAGGAACTCACAGTTTTGAAACTGCAATGATACAATCTGCATTTCCCCATAAGAAGGTAAGCATGTTCCCCTAGAAAATACAATGTAAGTCATAAATATTTTGTTGCAAAGGCTTTTATTTACCTTTCTTCATATTTCCAGAAGCTAGCAACAATACCCAGCACATTTTTGTTGTTCTTCAGACATTTTCAGTCTTGTCCAACTTTTGTGACCCCATTTGGGGTTTTCTTGGCCAAGATACTGGAGTGGTTTGCCACTTCCTTCTCCAGCTCATTTTACAGATGAGGAAACTGAGGCAAACAGGGTTAAGTGACTGGTCCAGGCTCCCACACCTGGTTAGGTGGCTGGGGCTGGATTTGAACTCAGGGAGATGAGTCTTCCTGACTGCAGGCCTGGAACTCTATCCACTGCCCCACTACACGTAGTAGGCATTTTATAAATATACACTGACTGATTAGATGATTAATAGTGTCATCCTTTGTTCTCTTCCATTCAGACCTACAACCACGGCAGGGACATCAGGACTCTTTCCAAGGTGCCAAAATTAGCAGAATAATGAGTGTTTGCATTATTTTTTTTTTTGCAGCATAGAAATTTGAGCTTAGCACCTATTTAGAACCAATAATGAGATTAAAAAGGAGCCTATCAAGTGGCAGGTTTCCCTCCCGCTGCAGCTACACCCCGGAGAGCCACTTGGTGACCCACCCCACTCTACTCACCCCCTCAGTCACTGCCAGGGCCAAAGATCCTGGCTATGTCTGCTTCCATTATCTCGTCATTGTGCTCAATGTCTATTTGCGTGTGCTACCATATGGGACTAGATAGATTTGGAAAATAGGATGATCAGTTTAGAGCCAGAAGGAAACTCAGAGTCCATCTTATCCAACTCTTCCATTTTCCTGATGAGGAAAAGAAGATAGATAGAAGGTAAGTAACCTATCCAAGGTCACATTGCTAAGTGGTACAGTGGACTGAGCACTGGGCTTGGAGTCAGAAAGACCTGAATTCAAATCCTTTCTCATACCCTTACTGGCTGTGTGTAGCTAGGCAAATCACTTAACCTCTCTGCCTCAGTTTCTTCATCTGTAAAATGGAGATAATAATAAAGGGTTGTTGTGAGGATCAGATGAGATAATTGTAAAGTTCTTCTCCCAGTGACTGGAATATAGTAAATGCTACATAAATGTCAACCTGTTGGTGAGTTAGGGGGCTATCTACCGCAAACATGTGAAGACTTCTCCAGCAGAATGGGTGGATGTGAACAATTTCTTCCAACAGGATATAAAAGCAGTAGAAGCAGGCACTATGGGGCACTTAGAGCTTAGTCAGATGTCGAAGATGCCAACGTCACCCAGTGCACTCCAGGCCATCATCTGTCATCTTCATTTTTGTCTTGCCACTGGACTTTGATGACTCTGGAAGAGAGAGGGAGGCTGATGACTTTGTGCAGCTCTGCCTCACTTAAATCCAATTCACTAGTGAGTCAAAACAACCACCCAGTGGTGTCATTGGTTGTCCTCAAAAACAAAGGGCAAACAATGGTAAGCAGCAAAACCAGTGGACAAGTCAACAAACATTTATGAGTGAGCTTTCAAAATGTGCCAGGCATTGCCAAAGGTGCTATTAGGCACACTGAGGATTAGCAACTGAGAAGCACCATGTTGTTGTGGATAGAGTGTTGGCCTCAGAGTCAAGAAGATGCCGGTTCAAGGTCTGTGCCCTGACACATCCTGGCTATATGATGCTGGACCTGTCCCTTAGCTTCTCAGTACCTCAGTCAACCATCTAAGACTCTAAGTTGCAGAGAAGGAACTGACTGGGATTGGTGAGGGGTTTTTCCTCATCTGGGCATTCCCATTACAAATGAAATCACCTGCTCAATCCCTATCCCTAATGTTATCATATGAGAAGCAGTTTGGCATCGTGGTTAAAGAGTTATCATCTGAGCCATGAAGACTTGGGTATAATATCACTTCTAACTCATACTGACTGTGTGACCCTACCAGAGTCCTTTACCCTCTCTGTACCCCCAAGCACTGAAGTGACAAAATTGTCTCCAGTGGCTATGCCGATAAAATCAGCAGTCTAGTCCAAAATGAGAAAAACAGAAAAGCAATTCATCCCCCAAGAGAGTTAGCTTGCTGAGAAACACATGCATTCCTCTGGAACAAAGGGCACCTGGCCGACATGGAAGGTTCATCCTGAGCAGGATAACTATTTTGTGCTTATGGGCCATTAACACTCACTTTCCTTCCTGAACATCTGTTGCCATTGGCTGCTACAAAAAGAGAGTGATGCTGTATTTACCCATAACTCATGACCCACCTAGCGGAAATGAGCCCCAAGCCAGGCTTAGATACCCACCTTAGCTGCATCCTCTGTCCGATCTTCCTTTCCACAGCATCAGCTGACAATATGAAAGAAGACAAACCCATGATGGGGGATATTGCATTACTTCTGTTTTTTAAAGGGCTAGACCTCATCCCATCAACAATACACACCTCTCAAGTGCCCCCATGTACAAAGGCAAATATGAGCCAGCCCCTGAACAGATAATGTAGAAAAAGTGTGAGCTCCTTGAGGGCAGGGACTGTCCTTTGCCTTTCTTTTTATCCCCAGCATAAGCTTAGCACACAGTAGGTGCTTAACAAATGCTTTTTGACTGACTGACTTTACAAACCTTAGAGCATTGTATAAATGCTATTATTTATTATTATTTTCTGTTAAATATTTTCTATAAATTTACTGATATATACATTGGTTTATTTTCTGTTAACTAAATTGTATTTCTATAAATATTATTATTCTACTGATCAGAGAGGTAGTATGGCATAGAGGATATAGAGACTGGTTTGGAGCCAACTCGGAGCATTTCTAGGGCTCTTTTATTAGTTTGCAAAGCATGCTATCTCATTTGACCCTGAGGAAAACCCTGGGAAATGGGGAGGGAAAGGAACAAACATTTAAATACACCTACTATGTACCAGGCACTGCAGTAAATGCTTTTTACAAATGCTTTCTCATTTGATTCTCACCACAACCTGAAGGGTAAGTGCTATTGTTATCTCCATTTTACAGTTGAGGAAACTGAGGCAAATAGAGGACACACAGCTTACGTAAGAGGAAACTGAGGCAGAGAACTTTAGCATTTTAGCAAAGGGTCACACAGATACTAAGCACCTGAGTCAGAATTTGAACTCATATCTTCCTGCCTCCAAGTCTAACATCCCACCCCCTTGCCATGTAGGGGCCTGGAAACCAGGTTTGTGTCCTTCCTCTGATACCTACTGGCTGTGTGACCATGGGCAGGCCTTTTAAACTCCCACGGTTCTAGGCAGCTCTCCAAGATTCTGAGTTGCTGAAAAGGTACCAACCTTGGATTGGTAGTTTCCTCGCCTGGAAGTTCCCAATGCCATTAAATCACAAATCTGATCGCTATTCCAATTCTAATGCAATGACCACAAACCTTTATGAAATACTAGCAGAAGCCCATCCACACCTGCATGTGGGCTGTCATAAATCCTCCTGGTCATACCTCTTTTGCCAGTGACTCCTGACACCCCCTTCTCCTTTTCCCCTCTTAGTCTGTGACTACTGTGTCTACATGACATGTGCCTCCGGCCCTCACAGCATTCTCAAGTCCCTGTTGCCTGGAATACCACCTGAGTTCCCTTTTTGTTTTGCCTTCCCTGTTGCTTATTCTCCTCCTCTAGTCCCTAGAGCGTCCCATCCCTGTGCCCTCTGCCCCTGCTCTCCCACACTAAGCCGACAACATGGGTGCGTCACTATGAGTGGAGTAAGAATCAGAATAGCGCCGACACTTCCACCACAGACAGGCTTCCCACTGTACATCTCGTCCTGTCCCAACAAAAGCCCTACGGCCTCCTTCTCTGGAGCCGGAGCTTGCTCCCACCTCTTTTTACCATGTTGGCCATCTGACTGGAACCACCTCAGGAAGGACACCCACTGGACTGCCACCTCCTTCTCCCAGCCTCCTTCTGCCAGGAGAATCACCTTCACTCGAACCAGCAGTGTGTAAACATTCCACATACTCCAGCCAAATTCCTCTATTCCCTGAAGCACATTAAAGATTGCTTCACGTCCTTGAGCTCCAGACTGCAGATTTCTCTTTTATGAGTATGAACTTCCTTCCTAGGTCCTTACACTTCATTCTCCCACATTCTTTTATGGGTGCCCTTTATTTTTTTAAAATGTCTTTTCTTAAACAAAACATTCCCTTCCTTCTAGCTTTTCAACACAGGCAGGTGAGATTTGAAACTCAGTCTGTAATTTGTATTATTTGTCTTTGTAGTGCTGAAGCCTAAAAATGTTAGACTGTAACTATTTCTGTACTGGATGTGCCTGGCCTGCTTTCCTCTAGTACAGGGTTTCTTAACTTTGGGTCTGTGAACTCATTTTTTAAAAACATTTTGATAATTATATTTTAATGTAATTTACTTCCTTTGTAACGCTATGGATTTTATTTTATGTATTTAAAATATGATTAATAGAAGGGATTCACAGGCTTCACTAGACTGACTACAATTTCTTCTATTAATAGAAATATTATTTTTAATACTACTTTTAATAGAAGGGGTCCAGGATACACACACAAAATATATTAAGAGCCTATGTTCTACTAACAGATTTAGGAATTACCTTTTAAGTTCTTTCTGGGTTTTGGTAGGGTTATAAATAGATCCCCACCAATGAAATCTCTTATTTTGTTGGGGGGGAGGGGAGAATATGTGTGTGCACATATACATACTACATATAAACGTACATATACCTGCATATATGTATGTTTCTAGATGTTTGTGTATATTTGCTTTCACATGCATAAATATGTATATTGCTATGTGTACACATGCATATGTGTGTATTTACAGGCATAGACACACATATATATGTGTCTCTTAATCACCAACCACTGCCCTGAGTGCAGAACTCACGCACTGAAAAGGTGGGGGGAGAGGTCAGGGTGTGGGCATGCAGAGGAAGGGGTACAGAAATGTCCTTACTTGTACAGAGGTTGTGGTTTGGTTACTGAAAGTCTGTTGGTACGAAGAGGTCAGAGTTGAGGAGTGTTGAGCTACAATGAATGAAGGGAGTGGTATAAATGTAGAAGAGACAAACTCCTGATTGGTCATCATGGGGAGGCATGACCTATCTTCTCACCAATTGTTTGATCACACACTGATTGAGCTTCTGTGTCGGTCCCTGTGGGGGTGTATAACCCCCACATTAATGACCACTATTATAGACAGTTGACAATGAATGGTTAGAGCTCAGAAAAGAAGTGAGGGATGAAGCTAAAGATTTGGGGATTGTCTGCATAGACCCAGTAGTTGAAGCCAAGGGCATGAATGAGATTGTCCAGGGAGTGACTGGGAGAGAAGACAAGAGGGTCAACGACAAAATCTCGAGAAACCATGAGCTGAAGGAGCCAGGGAAAGGATGACAAGCCAATGAAGGAAAGTCAGAAGAAGCAGAAAAGGAGGAAAGTGACAATAACGTGGTGTCTGTAAGTGAGTAATGCCAGAAAGAGGAAGTGGGCAACAGAGAAGTCAAGGAGCAGGAAAATTGAGAAAAAGCCATTGAACTTGGTGGTTTGGGGGTCATTAGGAACTACTGAGGCAGCAACTCCAGTGCAGCAGTGAAGGTGGAAACTGAAGTGGAAAAAGTTGCGAAATGGGGAGGAATTGGAGGCATGGAGAGCTGGAACATTTTCTAAAAGTTGAGCAGTGACAGGGAAGGCCAAGACAAGGCAATGGTAAGCCAGATAGAGTCAAAGTGGCAAAGAGAGCTTATTGTCTTGGCTAACTCCGAGAGAGATTGGAGAGGACAAGTAGAGAGGGACAGACTGAAAATGGATAGATGCTTCCTGGCTCCCCCGGCTTCTTAAGAGGCCCTTGGTCCTTGATTTTATGGGCTGGTTGGGGATAGATACAAACGCATAAAATCAAGTTAAGACCAAGGACCAGTTGGAATGGTTAAGTTCAAACTCTGCGTTGGAGCCCAAGCTGAGCCCACTCATTCTGGGACAGGTCAGTGAAGGGATGACACTGAGAAAGCCACATCGTGACAGTTTTTTGGATTTGGCTTTTGCTTTTAAATGCTGACAGACCAGAAGGGTTCAAAGTGAAGCCAAACCCATAGCTGAGTCACTGTGGAGCATAGCTCCTGGCCCAATTTCTTTCTGACTTCAAACTGCCAAAGGCCCAGTTAAAGTCAGCCACATAATATCCCAGTGACTCTTCAACAGTTGTGAAATAGGTTTGTTCTTTTAAACTGCCCAGTTCAAACTTGTGGGAACATTTCTGGTGCGTGCTCATGGATGTATTTATGACATCGTTCATGTTTTGCTCACATTTTTAAACCAACAATTACTTTACCTCAAAGAAGATTAACCACGAGCTTGAGTTTTGGAATGTGTTCAAAGTTCGGTTTTATGAGAGTAGCCTTGTGGTTTGGCCTTCCTTCTGGAAGAGGACCATGACATCGGGAAGATCATGCCATGACTTGCTCGTAAACTGGATTTAAGTGAGGGAGGGCTGTGCAAAGTCACCGGCCTCACTTTCTCCCCAGAGTCATCTGGGTCCGGTGGCCAGATATAGGTCAGGACAACTGGAAATGGCCCAGGACCTTTTTAAGCTAAGAACGTTTGGAGTTCTCACTTTAACTAAGGCAATCCCAATTCAGTGAATAGGGCTGCTTAAGAAGGGAGCAAGGGATGGCCCCTTTAATCCAAAAAAAAATCAAGCTGGAAGGGAAAGACCATCAGTGTTTCTGGACAAAAGAGAAACAATTACTGTTTACATTCACATTCATTACTATTTACACTTACATCTGGACCCAAACAATAACTATCAAATGGTGCTTGGATAGAGACCTCTTACTGAGTAATCAATGAGAGCCAGAGTGAATTGGGTTTAAGGCGTGGTCCTGCAGAAAGAACTCTGGCCAGTAAACCTGCAGCAGCTCTGTGGATAAAGAGCCTCTCTGTCCTTCATGCTCCTGAGCCTTAGACCCTCACCCAAAGATACACCCCATCTCATTTGAGCTTCATAACAAGGATAGGAGAGACAGTGTAGCCTAGTGGATAGCAAACCAGCTTCAGAGTCACGAAAGACCCGGGTTCAGGTGCTTCCTCTCACAAATAAATATTCATTGTGTGACTCTAAACAAGTCACTGAGACTCTCAGTGTTCCAGATAATTCTTCAAGTTACTACAAATTGTATAAGAGTTGCTAAGCTGCTTTAGCAGAGGTACTTCACTCAACTGGTAGCTCCCTGCATAACTGAAACCATAGGTTGGGATAATTTTTTTTATTTAGTCATGTCAGGTGGGTCAGGGGCCACTAGGGGTGCAGCAGATGGACCATTAGGCTTGGAGTCAGGAAGACCCAAGTTCAAATCCAGCCTCAGACACTTAATACTGTGGGACCCTGGGTAAGTCACTTAACCTAGTTTGCCTCAGTTTCCTTATCTGTAAAATGAGCTGGAGAAGGACTCCACTCCCGTATCTTTGCCAAGAAAACCCAAAAGAGGACACAAAGAGTGGTACCTGGCTGAAAAAAATGAACAACGATGAAAGCTAAACAGGTACTACAGATATTCTTCGCCTCTTTTTACAGTTAAGGAAACCAAAGTTCCCTGACTTCTACGGGATATTAAGTAACTTGCCCACAGTCACAGAACTATTCTGTGGCAGAGATGAGATTTGAAGTCAGAACCTCTTGACTCCAGACCCAGCCTTCCATCACGTTGCCATGACCCTCCATGGAAGCCTTTCTAACCTGCTAGAACCCTCCCCCAAGCTATTACTCCATGGGCATAGCCAGTGAGAACCCAGGACACAGCCACACCCGGGGAAGCAATCAGGGTGAGGTGATGCAACACCAAATGAAAGACTGCCAACGTGGGCAGTGCGTGCTGTGTGACATACAGTCATTCACTTACACGTTCTCAGATTTTTTTCTCAAGAAATTTAGCCTAACACAGACATGACTAAAAGAGGCAGTTTTTGAGATGTTTTTTCTACTCGTACAAGGAATTGATTGACTCGTGTGATCAGAGATTTAGAGCTGAAAACAACCCTGGAAGCCATCGAATCCAATCCTCTCATTTTACAGATGAGAAAACCAAAGCAAAGGGAGGTCAAGTGGCATGCCCCAAGGAAGGGAGGCGAGGAAGAGGCAGAAGTGAGAACGCACTCCAGGCATGGGGAATGACCCATTCAAAGGCACGAAGATGGGAAATGGGGTGCCATATGGAAAGAAAGTCAGGGAGGCCAGTGTGGCTGTGCTGTAGTGAGTTCTGGGTAATGATGGTGGAAAGATGGGATGGCAGGCGGGTTGTAAAAAGCTTTGTAGGCCAAGCAGAGACATTCCTATTTGATCCTCTCTCTTTAATTAGCACTAGTATTGGGAGAAGGGGGGGAGTTCAAGATTCTTGAGAGCAGTACTTTCATAGATTAAACTTCAGTTTCTCAGTTTTCACAACCAGCAAAGTCATCATTTCTAGGTTATTAATTATGATCCCAACTGTTTCCCTAGAAGAAGCATGTTCTGAACTCACCTAAAGCTTGAGAATCAATTTCCCCATTTGAGGGACAATGAGAATGGTCATGGTGAAGCCACTGAAGATTATGAATAAGCATTTTCAATTGAGAGTTTCACTCTTGGCTCTCAATGCACAGTGAAGTCCCACCTAATGCTGGAGAATTCTGCATGACAGAGTTATGAAGATGGAAAAGAATCGGCTGGTGGAGGGGTGAGAATTGGAGAGAAAACTTTTGGTATCAAGTCAACAAGCATTTATGAGGTACCTACTATGTGTCAGGCCCTGTGCTGAATTCTGAGAATAAAAATACAAGCAAAGAGATAATCCCTGACCTCAAGGAACTTACATTCTAATGGGGGAAGACAATAATCAATCAATAAACATTTATTGAGTGCCTACTATGTGCCGGGCACTGTGCTAAGTGTTGGGAATACAAAAAGAAGCGAAAGACAGTCCCTGCCCTCAAGTAGCTTACAATCTAATGGGGGAGACAACATGCAAACAAAGGTCTACAAAGCAAACTATAGGCAGGATAAGTAGGAAATAATTAACAGGGGAAAGGCACTAGAAGAAAGAGGGCTTGGGGAAGGCTTCCAGTTAGGACTTAAAGAAGCCAGGAGGTCAGTAG